CCCCAAAACCCCAAAACCCCAAAACCCCATATTGCAGTTAGAGTATTGAAATTATTGGCTTAATTTTACAAAATTCTGAAGATTTGAGTTGGAGTTTAGCTTCAGAAAATTAATCTTAAGAACTTTAGTCAGACTTTTCTTCAGGAATGCAAAGGGCTAAAGTTGGATTTGGGATTTCTAAGTTGAATTTTGATGTTGGGAACTTGTTGGTTTGAGTCCTTTGGTTGGTAAATGGGAAACTTTGATGATTTTCTATTGCATTTTTAATCAAAGTTACACATTTAGATGCTCTAGACCAATTTATCTTGTAATTTTTAAAGTTGAAAATTAGAATTTGTACTCTTAGCTTAGAAGATGCTTAATTGCCACATATATGCTCCAATTCCTTACCAAATTCTGAATACTTTTCAGAGATCTACATGGGATGAATAAACTATAAAACCTGGACCCATGAGAAACAAAGGTTACCAAATATCATTTACTTAAAGGCTTCGTTCACTCATATTACTTCTTATTATCATATCCTTCAATATCTCTATTTACAAGTTGAAATATTAAGAGGAAACAGAAATGATTGGAATTAGAGATTTTCAGTTTTATATCTAAAGTTAATTTGGATCCTAAATATATCAAGGCTAGCCATTAAATTTAGAGAACTTATTGGGGAGAGTCTCTCAGTCCTCAAAGCATTGCATAGTTAGTCTACCATTATAAATGATGTCAGCAATAGCATTTAAGACTATTTCCAGGGAGTGTCCAAAAATGCATAAAAATTTAGGCTTGGAGATCCTCTTACTGTAGGAGTCTAGGGTGAGATTAGCTTCACCAATTTCTCAGGAGAACCAGTAAGAAATTGAGAGACTATATTGCCTATCTTGTTAAGTCTTGCGACGACAATTGAAGGATATATTTGAGGGATACTGTGATGGCATTTAAGTTGGGTTGAAATTAAGATATTCGATACCGTAAGATAGTACAGATGCTTCAAAAATGAGCTTCATAGATAGGTTTCTTTTCAAATAATTTGAAGCAAAACAGTTCAAGTTGTTTTTAGAACTGAAATCACAAAATTTTTAATCTGAAGAAAGTTTGAATCTTAGCCTCAAAACTAATAGTTTGAATAATATTTTAGTTTCCAAGAATAAATGAATGCATTAATCGCTCTCCAATTTTATCAGTAAAAATATTATTTAATTTTTAACTAAAGAAAGTACTTATGCGTCGCATTTCCAATAAGATGAGGAAATAGAAGAAAGTGATGAAAATGATAAAATTTTGGAGCCAAAGCTTTGATTCAAACAGAATTATGATCAATAGGTCAATATAAGAAAGATTTTTAATTTGTTGAGACTGAAACATGAAGGTACAAAATTGTATGCAAGTTTGACAATAAAAAGTATGAGCCAAATAAACAGAGGAAAATCAAACAGATTACAAGCCTGTTCCTACCAACCCTTTATCTTTCAGGGATACTGCAAATATGACTCTAGCTTCTGGTTTATTCATGAAAGGCCAGATTCTGTGAAGTTAAGTGAGATATCCAATGAAAGATTACTTTGCAATGATAAGCTTCCTTTCTTGTAATCAGTAAAAAGGAAAGACACTCTCTGTCTATGAGCAGATCCTCTCTGAGTCACTCTAACTTCTTTTGTAAATCTATAAAATTTGACACAGGAAGGTCACCTCATGACATCCTAAAAGTCTTCTGATCTAATCCCAACAGTTTATAACCCTAAAGGCTCCAAGCTGCCAAATATATTAATGTCCAACCAGCAGGTGCCTCCACTTCCTCTATTAAACTTTCTTCTATTGGATAGATAAGTTGCAATATTTTTAATCCCTTATGGGGTTTTGGGGTTTTGGGGTTTTGGGGTTTTGGGGTTTTGGGGTTTTGGGG